ATCTCCTTGGTTGTCCGCCAGACCCTCCACAGGCGAATCAGAGACGCGCTGTACTTTTCGCCTTCCATGCTTGCGGTCGGTGACGTTGATGCGGGGGAACGAGTGTCGGGCGGTGGTGTCGGCGCAACAGCTGAGTGAAGACGGGCGCGTCAAAGAAATCTCCAGAAGTGCCAAAGGCAGGCCGGGCGAGAGGCTTGGCGTGCAGCCCTAGCGCGCGGACCTGGAGCTTGGAACCCCACCACTTCCGCCCATCTCGAACTTGGACATGGCCTCCTCAAACGAAATCCCCAACCTACGAACTCTTCTCGGACAAGGCCGCGGCGGAGCATCAAGAGGCAGAGGACGTGGAAGAGGTGGTCTTGGAGGTTCAAGTGAAACAAGGGCCCAAGTTCTCGACGATGCCGTCAAGGGGACTGATCAAGATGCGGCGGGGAGCAGGGTGAGCTGTGTAGAGCTAGGTTACCTTCACGACCCATATGCGAAGTTGTTCGCGACACAACAGACGACGAGGAAGCTGCCGTTGCTCAACAGAGGCACGTATGTCCGCACCTCGGCCATCGACCTTCTCGTCGCCAAGTTCCTCGTCACCTACCCGTCGTCGGCGAAGCAGATCATCTCTCTAGGTGCCGGCACCGACACGCGATTCTTCCGCCTCCTCGACCTATACCCCCAAATGCGCATCGTATACCATGAAATCGATTTCCCTTCGAATACACTCGCCAAGATAGCCACCATACAGAGGCAGCCGCTGCTTTACCGAAAGCTGCTGCACATACCGTCGACGTCAGCCTCCTACCACTCAGACACATACAACATCCATGCGCTCGACCTACGTACTCTGGCCGACCCATCGGACGAGAAACCCCTACCTCAGATTCCGAACCTGGATCCGAGCATACCTACGTTGATCCTGTCCGAGATGTGTCTGGTCTACCTGCAGCCCTCGACAGTGAAATCAATAGTGCCATCACTGCTCACACACTACCTACAACCTGCGACGCCTGCGTCTCTCATTCTCTACGAGCCCATCCTACCCCAAGATGCTTTCGGTCGCACCATGATCTCGAACCTCCAGTCCCGCAACATTCACCTTCATACATTGATAGCGTATCCTGAGTTGGGCGACCAACGTGCACGCCTTCAGGGCTATGGCTTGACAAACGGGGCAAGGGTCGCGGACACAAGTACTATTTGGCGAAAGTGGATCGACGACGAGGAGAAGGAGCGCATCGCTGGCTTGGAATTCCTAGACGAACTGGAGGAGCTGGAAATGCTGCTCCGGCATTACTGTGTTGCATGGGGCTGGAGGGATGGCGAAGGCGATATCTTTTCGAAAGCGTGGGCGGGTGTACGAGAGTAGGAAGTAGTTGACTCTTCAACTCACGATGCAGCCGCAGCTGTATCATTAATAGCCTTGAATCCAGAACAAAGACTTGATTCTTCTTGCAGCGTGCTTGAGTTATGACGTGACCTGCGTAGAGTGAAAGCCACGTGCTTGCGCGCCAGACGCACTTCCAGGGCTCACGCGCTAGGCCTGAGGCGGCCTTGCCCGAACGGCGCCGTGAACCCCAGACACGGTGCTTTGCGACAACAGGAACGACCAACTACCAACCACTCACTCGCCCAAAATCTACGCCGTGTCGTGAGTGAAGCGCATTTCTCGCCAACACGCAATGGTGTAATCGCCGCCTCCACATCTGAACCACGACTATATACGCTCCTTACCCGTCCCGACACAACAAACAAACCAACACGGAGTCGCTCCTGCCATGGCGGTGCGCAACACGACCCAGCCCTCCTTCAACTTCCTCACCGGCGAGGAAGAGGAGCCAACACCCGCGCCTACGACTGCCAAACGAGAACCTCTGCGCGAAACCTTTCGAACCACATTACGAGCCTCCCAGAATGCGCCGCACACGGTTGTGCCTTCTGACCCGATCAATGAAGACCTCCGCGCCCAACTCAATACGGTGCGATATGAGCTCGAAACCGCGAAACAAGAAAAGGAGATGATGAAGCTGGAGCATGCGCAGGAACTCCGCGACGCCCAAAACCGCGCCGATGCAGACTTTCGCAAAGCCCAGCAGGTCGAGGCGTCGAACAGCATGACCGCGAAGAAGTACGATGCGCTGACCAAGGAGATGGCCGAGGCACAGACGAAGGCTGCGAACGAGCGGCAAGCGCTGGAACGGCGATTACGGGAGAGTCAAGAGAGGGCGCAATCGCTACAAGAGGAATACGACGAGGTCAAGGAGGAGTTGTCGACGTCGCAACGGCAGAACGAGCACAGATACAACACTCTACAGACCGAGCACAAGGCGCTGAAGGAGAGTGTGGAGGAAATGCATGCAGATCTACAAGCCAAGGTCAATGCTCTACAAACGTCGCAGAAGAAGCTTGCGCAGAAGGAGGAGGAAGTCGGTCAGATGGAGGCTGAGGTCTTGCGCCTGAAGGCAATCACTGGAGATGCGGAAACACTGGCAGTCATCAAGAGGGAACTCTCCGATCAGGTCGCACACATCAAGAAGCTGGAGACCCTGACGAGGGAGCAGAATACGGAGCTCAAGCAGTACCGGAAGCAACACAAGGCGATTGAGGTTGTCGAGGAGGAGAAGAGGTCTCTGCAGACAAAGCTGCGCATGATGGATGACTTAGAACGGCAGTTGGGAGAGGCAGAGCTGAGGAAGCAGGTCCTAGAAGAAGAACGCGACTCCTGGACGTCGTACCTTGAGGCCGAGGCAGAGATACACGGCGAAGTACTCTTCGAAACCCCCCAAGACCTCGCGCGAGCCTTTATCCAAGAGCGCATAGAGAGGACCGATCTTCTCAACAGGCTGGGCGAGATCAAGCCTGAACTCACTGTCAAGGATGCTACCATACAAGCACTCGAAGAGGAGAAGACCAAACTACAAGCGGAAATTCAGCAGCTCAAGGCCGCCGGAAACACCGCCGCGACGAGCAGTGCCGATGCAAAGGCGCGAGCGCGTCTCGAACGACAGAAGGCTCTCGCAACCAAGGAAGTCGACTTCCTGCGCGCCCAAGTCAAGGCTTTTGACGACGAAGAGCGTGAAATGCAGCCCGACACATTCGACGCTGCAAAGTCTGAGCGCATAAAGGAGCTTGAAGATCTCGTCGACCAATATCGCAAAGAAGTCGACACCCTACAACAAGAGTTCAACAACCTGGAGAAACCCGCGCCTGCGACCACAGGCCAGAAGCGCGCTCTCGATACAGACGAGAATGATGAACGCGTTGGCGAACTACGTCGGAAGAACCGCCAACTACAAGACGACCTTCACGCCCTGCAAAAGAAGCAGAAACTTGTCGAATCCGAATACAAAGCCCAGCACTCGCAGCTGAAGAAGCTGAAAGAGTCTTCGCGAACACGCGTCCTGGAGCTCAAATCCAACCCCACGGCCGACGCCGAAGCCCTCAAACTAAGCACCGTACGCAATCTCCGCGAAGCCAACGCCCAACTCATCGATCAGCTGGAGAACCAAAGGACGCCCCCCTCCACCGTCCCCGCCGCCACACTCGACGCCGCCCGAGACGAGCTCGAAGAAATAAAAACCCAACTCGCCTCCTCCGAGAAGAAGATCAAGCGTCTCAAACAAATCTGGGCCGCCAAATCCCTCGAGTTCAGAGAAGCCGTCGCTTCCATCCTAGGCTGGAAGTTGGATTTCATGCCCAACGGCCGCGTCAAGGTGACCAGCATGTTCAAACAAGCAGACGAGGATGGAGAGAACAGTATAGTGTTTGACGGCGAGAACGGGACGATGAAGGTGTCGGGCGGAGAGCAGAGTGTGTTTGCGGGCGAGATACGCGATCAGATTGTGTATTGGGTTGAGGGGAGGAAGGAGATTCCTTGTTTTCTTGCTGCGCTTACGTTGGAGTTTTGGGAGAGGGGGCCGGGTGGGCAGACGATGCATGGGTAGGTGGTTAGAGGTGGCGATGGAGATGAAGCGGGTTTATGTGCATGGTATAGTCATCTGACGCTTGGTTCGTCGAATGTAATGATGATTTCAGAGTAATGATACAGTTCGCCTAGAATACACTTCTTCCAAAATAGCCCTCAATATCCTACTCCTCCTCATCCGTCAAATACATCACACCATACCCAACCTCCGCATCTCCCTCTCCATATTCTCATCCATCACCGCCCTCCTTCCCCACCACTCCATGTTCCTCTCCCCGTCCATCTGCCCGTTCCCTCTATCGACCTTCCTCCACCACCAAAACCAGCCCATGACCCAACACCATGCGAACGCCACCATGATGAGGAAGTCGTAGCATAGTAGGGACACTGTTGCGCCTACGACCCAATCATGATGTTCTGGGGGGAGATCGGTTGGTTCGCCGAAGGCGTTGATGGTGGGGTTTTTGGTGGGGTTTGCTGTTGGTGTAGTTGGCGAGACGAAGTGGAGTGTGAGGGTAGTGGTTTGGTGCTCTGCTTCGGTAGTCGCCGGGGTGGACTCAGTCGCAGTGGTGAAGGCTGTTGGTGGCATTGCCTCGATTGGTGTATCGGAGGGCTCATTGAGATAGATGTAGATGGGTGTAGTGAGTGCGGATGTACGCGGCGTGGTAGCATCTTGGGCGAGTACCAGTGCGCCGCCGGTATGATTCATGAAGACGAAGAGCGCGAGAATAGTGATGATAAGCATAATGATGGTGTCAACTCGGCAGCGTATTGAGGATGTGTGATGTCCGCTTGAGTAGAGTATGTCGGTAAGGACTGTGGTGCTTGGAGGCAGAGTAAGGACTGGAAAAAAAGATGGAAGAATCAAGGGATAGCATAATCTTAAGAAGCACTAAAGTAAATCGATGAGAAGGGAAGCGCACAATGGTTATGGGAGTGTGGTGAGAGTGGATCGTGGAGGCAAGCGAGCTATTGTTCTCGTAGCCGTGAAAAGAAGCTTATCATATATACATAAATTGCCCTCCTTCACCTCGAACGCCGAAACCCTGCTACAAGGCATGAATTTTCATTCGTATTGTTCTCATCATTGCGCCTTGTCCCAAGGTAGCGCAAATGTAGAAACCCAGTCCTCGACCTCCTTCTTGAGTTCGATGATCTCGGTGATGTCCTCGCCTTCACCAACGTACTCCTTGAACGCGGCTACACTGGCGGGGTTCTTGCGACCGGTGTCTTCGGCCTTCTTCTTAGCATCTTTGTCGAGCTTTTGAGTGATTCCAACGGCGCGGTGCACGACGTCAGCCACACGCTTGAAGTCCTCGGTCTGGAAGCCACGAGTTGTCATGGCGGGAGTTCCGAGACGCAGACCACCGGGCTTCATGGCAGACTTGTCACCGGGAACAGTGTTCTTGTTCGACGCGACGCCTACAAGCTCGAGGATGCGCTCTACTCGTGCGCCGTCTACGCCGCGGTCCTTCAAATCGACAAGGACAAGATGGTTGTCAGTGCCGCCTGAGACGATGTTGTAGCCAAGACCGCCGTTCTCCTTTGAGTCGCCAAGACGCTGCGCGAGAGACTTTGCATTGTCCAGAACCTGTTGTTGGTAGTCCTTGAACTCTTTGGTTGAGGCTTGTTGCAGAGCTACAGCCAGAGCAGTGATGGTGTGGTTGTGGGGTCCTCCCTGGTGGCCTGGGAACACGGATGCGTTGATGGGGCCCTCCAAGTCGTACATCTCCTCCTTGCCCTTCTTGTCAACCTTCCGTACACCCTTGCGGTAGAAGATCATGGCGCCTCGCGGGCCTCGCAGCGACTTGTGTGTTGTGGTGGTAACGATATCGGAGTGGGGGAACGGAGATGGGATAACGCCGGCGGCAACAAGACCTGAAATGTGAGCCATATCGGAGAGGAGGTATGCGCCAACATCGTCTGCCAGCTTTCGCATGCGCTCGTACTCGATCAACCGACTGTATGCTGATGTGCCCGCAACGATGACCTTTGGCCTGTATAGGTGAGCCAGCTCTGACATCTTCTCATAGTCGATGATGCCAGTCTTCTCATTCAGCCTGTATGGGAGGGTCTCGTAGTATTTGGATACGGCGGAGATCTTCTTGGTGGGTGTTTGGTATCCGTGCGATAGATGGCCGCCATGGGGCAGATCGAGACTGAGGATACGGTCGTGGGTGTTGAGGACGGCGGAGTAGGCGTAGAGGTTTGCGGGTGATCCGGAGAGGGCTGTGTTGTGTTAATACATAGTATAGCGGTTTGGCGACTGACTCACGCTGGACGTTGACACCCCACTCGTCAGGGCTCAAACCGAATGCTTTGAGTGCTCTTTGCTGACATAGGCGCTCGGCCTCGTCAATGTGCTCGTTTCCTCCGTAGTATCGTGCGCCTGGGTATCCTTCCGAGTACTTGTCTATGGCGTTGTGTAAGCTTGAGGTTGTGGTGTGAGGATGCGCGGAACATACTCTGCATCACACTGCCGAGCGCATCGAGCACAGCTTGGGATGTGAAGTTCTCCGAGGGGATGAGGTTTATGAAGTGCTTCTGGCGATTCTTCTCCTGCGATAGAAGTATTGTGAGCTTCGTCTTCGTATCTGCGACCTAGGCATGTGGCAACTAACCCTGTTGATGATCTGATAGACGGTGGGATCGGCTTGTTCAAGATCTTGGGAGAGAATCTGCCGCTTGTTAGTCCTTCAACCCGCTTCATCCTGCTATCGTATTGTGTACCTTTTGTTGCGCATCCATACTTGTCGCATAGCCCCGCCATTGTTGTGTCTGTATTCTTGCATGGTTGGTGGCAATTGAGGCTGTGGAGCGAGAGGTGAGCTGGCGCAAAGGCGCTCTGCAGGCTGCTCTGAGGTTCGCCATGTTGAGTCGATCTGGTATACACAGTGGAAGCGTGGCGCGACCTTATAAACGTGCTCGATGCCAGCCGGACTCGTAGTCTCAATGAGGCAACGAAACGATGGGCCCGCTTAATCACGGACTAGGGCGGCACTGGCAGGGGTTAAGGCCTCGGCGCCGTTTCTCCGTTCTCCGGCGGTAAAACATCGACGCTTCCGTCTCGCGTCCTCTCTTCTTTTCTTCACGTAACTAAACCCGAGATGATATGACTGCTTTCAACTCAGCTGCATCCTCACTTGGCTGGCGCAAGCTGGCCGATGTGGGAGCTGTTGACACGCCCCGGCACCCACCACCTAGGGGGACGAAAAAATCTATGATCGGCTCGTTACGTAGGAAGCATCTGTTGATGCTGCTGTGATGTGTCCGGCGCGGTACGGTCTGGAGCACGAAATGTATAGTGCCTTCAGTCAATCCCGCTGTCGTCACCTTGTATGTAGCATTTCAATGTAATCGTTATTGTCACCACGTCTTGTTGTTGCTCATAAGAATTACTCACCATGAATGTGCCACACCTCAGTATGACGTCGACTATATTGACTCTACACCTTCACATAAGCAGGCGAAGCAACAGCGGTTCACTTTAACTCTCAGCATGCGTAACTGCTAATCGAGAAGCCGAACGCGGAACTAAGTTTTGCCCCTGCTAGATAACACGGCTGGACACGCTTTCCACTCACCTTTACCCTGACCCTGAGAGACCCTGACGGACTCACGACAGTACCACTTGGCAGCTTCTTCACACACAGACTGTGATCCATTTCTGATCAGTGTCTTCAACGTGCCGTCTCGAGCTTCGTGCACGAAAGACATGTGACAGCCTGCACCCAGTCTCCAGGTGGGATCACCAGAACTTCTGAGCATGGATGGAGGACACTGCTCTCACCTCCTCCAGCCTACTGCCAAGGCTACTAGTAACAGTCCTTAGCCTGGAAAGCGCGCGTGGCAACGACCGTCACTGCCTTAGACGCGCTTTCTCTGTTTACTGACCCCGCGTCTACTGCATCAGCCCCATCTTGACCGCAGCCGCAACCTCTACCTCTCCCTCTGCTTCTAACAGCGGTCATCCAACGGCCAAGCGTGACCGTTTCTTACACCGCTAACAGCCTCAACTAGCAAGGTGTCCGCATATAAGAATCACATCATGGCGCCCAAACTCAAGACACCGAGCCTGCCTCCTCCAACAACACCGAAGAGTCGCGACTCGAGTCCGGAGCTAGGCAGCCCTTCCAAGATCACGCAGTACAACCAGAAGACAGGCCGTCCGGTTCGAAAGAGCGCAGGCAAGATTCAGAAAGTGGCAGGCTACGTCGATTTCGAAGACGCCGACTTTGACGCCTTGACCGAGAGTGAGTTGAGCGAGTTGAGCGACGAGGAGGAAGAGGACGATATGGACCCGCGCAGCCGTTCAGACAAGAAGAAAAAGGGCGCACTGAAGCGCAAGCGCAGTCCCTCACCTCCGTCTCCGCGTCTAGAACCCGTTGTCTACCGCCAGGAGCTCGATGACCTCACCGACAATGAGGATGCCGGCGCCTTTCATCGGAGTGCTCCGAAGAAGCCGCCCATGACCTTGCAGTTCAACGTCCCGCTAGGCTTCCACGGTCCACTCTTCGTCAAGCTCGACAGCACCATCCTACAGACCAACGAGCAGGGCAAACTGCACGAGATGCAGCCAGGCAAATCGAACAAGTCCCGTGTTACAGGTCCGCAGCCAGCCGGAAAGTCCGCGGTAGGCAGCGTAGGTTTCACGGATCTGCCGCCCGAGCTAAGGAACACTATCTATCGGTACCTTTTCGCTCGCAAGGAAAAGACCTCGAAGCTCAGGATTCCGATGACGGCCATCGACCCCAAGGAAAGCCTAACCAAGTCTGGTCAGTTCCTCAGGACCTGTAAGCTGGTGCATAACGAAGGCTGTTCGATCTTATACGGCGAGAACACATTCTCCTTCCACCGACACTACGATACTCGAGGACCCTACTGGGAGCCGGTACCCAAGGAGATCGGTTACCAGGACGTACTGCACTTCCTCAGAATGATCGGCCCCGAGAACATTCAATACCTTCGCGATGTCAAGTTCGTCTTCGATGACGCACGCCCAAAGGACACACCCTATGTCCGCTCCAACGAGGAGCGCCGCTATCTGAACGATGACTACCTGGCGAACTGCCTCCGCATCCTCCGCAACGCCAAGCTCCGCAAGGTCACAATGTACTTTGGCGGACGTCGGCAACTGGGCCGTACCGACGTCAGGTTTTTGGGTTACCTGGAGCAGATCAAGGCCGACGAAGTGGTGCGGGAACCCGAGAAGTACCATCATGGTGCCGATAGGTTCATGAGCAGAATGGCCTGGCATGACCTGAAGGAAGCGATGGTGCGAAAGGACAGGCTCTACGTGAAGGAGTAGCTCAGTACTCCAGATGCCCCAGATACCATCTCGCGGCATACTACACATTACATGTACCTTGCGATCCAACCACTTCGGGTATCAGAACTGTCGGCTTCTGTCATGTTCTAATATTCTCATGTTATCGGCCTCATGTTCACATTCAGATTGCTTCGGCAACCTTCGAGTAGATCTAGCGATTGCTTTCACTCGAGCGGAAGTACCATGGCGACTGGGCGTTGGATGGCTATCATATGTGGTGAAGGTTCATTTTGTACAATTTACCCCCGGGCCCATGTTTCCTACCTGTCAGCGGATGACGTTGTCAGCCCCTGTTTGGCGACGGTACAGGCACTTCCTGCAGCACATCACATCAATGTATTTTCCCAACATAAAAATCCAAAGCATTTGATAGCATTTCTTCGCGCTGTCGTGATGATTGGTCCAACCCCTCATTATCATTCCTCGATATTACCGCCAATGGCACGTCCGGGCCCCAACAACGCACCGACGGCTAAAATGCGACATCCCCTAGCCCCGACCCCACCAGCTATTTCTCAGCCAGCCTGCAGCCGCGCAACGTGTTGAACCATGGGACAAAAGATGTACCTTGCATAAGCGAGCCGTGCGAACGCCTGCTTAATGCGGTACGCGATGGTGGTGTGGCTGCAGGGCAAATCATATACAGTACAATAAATTGAGTTAGGCAGCGGGAAGCCGTTGTCAATATGAAACATTTGCTGCACGTAGCCGCTGCCAGTCGTTCTTGCGCATGCAGAAAACAATGCACCTCGATGCGTTCGTTCGTGCATGCATCCCGTTACCGGGCTGGAGGGTACGGGCGGAACACGATCTGGAAGGTGGTCAGAGTCCTATTTAGCCTCTGTATACTATTTGGGCGAAGTTGGTGTCGACTTCATAAAAGTGGTTTGATATAGCCGGTTTGCCCGATGAGCTCCTCGGACAGGACAGCACGGGTCAGGGTAGTGATTCAGTGGGGATACTGTACGCGATGCACGTTGTGGATGGTCGGTGCGGGAGGTACGTCAGCGATCATGTACGGAGACCACGGAGATTTTGTGGAATTGGTTAGAGCGGAGAGTGATGTGAGGGGTTGGCACTTGGTGCCCGTAGCTTTTTGCATGTGTCTGTTCATTTATATCGTCGATTCGTCTAGACATCGTACATCGTCATCGTTCGGTCCGGTGAGCGGTTCTATTTGATGCGCTCCTCGGGATTGCCGAGCATGTGCGTTGAACCCACTTATGCCGTCTTTCCTTTCCGCTTCTTGAACTCTTCTATCCAACCAGCTGCCTTGTCCTTTGGTATCACGCTTATCGTTACCAGGCCGTCGACGATCTCTGGCTTTCCGCTTCCAAGTACTTTGCCTAGGCTCATCTTCTTTCCTACTTTGATCAGACCGCCGGCTGCAGTTTCCATGTAGGACTCTACGTTGTCGATGGTGTACTCGTGTTTCTCGTCCCATGGCAGCGGGAAAATGTATTCGAGATGTTCGTCTAGCTTCTCTTTCTCAGAGAACGCCTTGATGAAGTCAGACTGCGAGTGCATGGGATACAGCAGTATGACTGGCACCGTGAGTGTTGAGGAAGGATCCAGGCTGTTCTCCAGCTTGACAGTGGCGTCTTCCAGATCTGGGGGCTTCTCCGTGCTCCGCGTGAGGATATTCCGGCTCCTCAAGGCGAGTTTGAGTGTTAACCGCTCTGATGCAGCCTTTTCTTCTCGTTCGCGACGCGCCTTTTCAACGGATTCTATGTACTGCTTCCGAGCATCGATCTTGGTTTTGAGGGCCTTGAGGGGGGCGTTGTTGGCATCTAGGGCCAGGCCTCTGTCGCAAGCCCAGGCTGCTTCCTGTAGCTTGTCTAGTGCTAGACCAGCAGTGGCTGATCTGTAGAAGGCTTTGACGTTTGCGGGGTTGATCTTGAGCGTTGATACGCAATCCTGAATGCAAGAGCGATAGTTTTCTGCCGCGTGTCAGCAGACCGTAGTCGAAACTTTGGTGAAGAAGCCACAATGCCTGTCTTCAGGGTGTGCTTGCAAACTCACTCTTCTCCAAATTGCATAATGCTCGGTTGACATAGACAGCCTCTGCAATCGCCCTTTCCTTCTCCGCCTCCTCCTTCTCGTCAAGCTCTACGGGAATAACGTCCGGACCTTCCGCATCTGGATCAGGGTTTGTTTGTGGACCTTTGAGCGCCGCTATTGCCTTGTCGTAGAACTCTTTCGCGTCTGTCCATTGCTTTGCCCGCGCGCATTCGTTGCCTTGCTGCCGGAAGTTCTCAGCGATCTCCGCACGGGTTCCCTCGTACGCCATCGCTTTCAACGCCTCGAGCGCCATGTTCTCGCCTCCCTCGCCATCTGTTTCATCTAGACTGGTCATGAAGATTGGCATACGGTTCATCTCTTTCAGCAAATCGTCTACTTTTTTCGACTTGACATCAGCCATTGCTGGTGGCAAATCTGCAGACGCCGCCGGTGGGCCATTTTGATCTGTTTGCGCCATGTCGCCTGTTGTTTCGAGGAATTCACAACTATTGTCGCAAATATCACGATATGCTCGCTGTGA